CTTTTCTGTCTCCTTTTTTAAAAATGGGAACTACATTTCCATACCTCACGTAGTTGCCCAGTTTCCAGGGATGTGTTGAAGATTGTGGTTAGGGGCACACACAGCATATCCACTCCCTCTCTAAGGACCCACGGGGAGATGTCCGGTCCCATTGACTTCGAGGTATCATTGTCCCTTAGAAGCTTTTTCACCTCCTCCTCAATTGTATGTATGTCATCCAACATTTGTTGGTATATTCCTTGCTGGTGTCTCCCTCTGTTCTGTCCTTCCAGAGGCCTTCCTGTCTCCACTTCAAATACTTCATTAAATCTCATGTTGAGCTCCTCACATACCTCTTGATCGTTTCTTGTAAGCTCCCCACTTTCTTTCCTCAGCCTGATCACCTGGTCTTTGACTGTTGTCTTTCTCCTAATGTGGCTATACAGCAGTTTCGGGTCAGACTTGACTTTCGATGCCATGTCGTTTTCGTACTGTCGCTGGGCCTCCCTCCTTACCTGTGCATACTCGTTTCTAGCTCTTCAACTAATCTCTTTATTTTCCTGGGTCCTTTGCCTCCTGCACCTTTTCCATTCTCTGGTGCACTTAGCTTTTGCCTCCCTACACCTTCGAGTAAACCAAGGACTCACTTTGGACTTCCCATTATTTCTATTGCCAATGAGAACAAACCTTTCCTCTGCCTCCTTGCATTTTGTTGTTACATATTCCATCATCTCGTTTACCGGCTTTCCTACCAGTTCTCTGTCCCACTGAACCTCCTGCAGGAAGTTCTCATACCTGTGTAGTCCCCCTTTTATAGTTTGGCTTTTCCCTTTCAATTCCTGTTACCCTCTCCACTTGTAACTCTTCTATATATTCAAAACTCAGAACCACGTGATCGCTAGCTCCCAGGGGCCTCGCGTAAGTGATGTCCTCAGTGTCTGAACTGCTCAAGGTGAACACAAGGTCCAGTCTTCTTGGTTCATCCTTCCTCTCTGGTAGTGTCCCTAACATGTTGATACATGAGGTTTTCCAGTACCACATCCATCATCTTGGCTCTCCATGTCTCGGGACCCCCATGAGGCTCCAGGTTTTCCCAATCGATTTCCTTGTGGTTGAATTCGTCCATTACCAGTAACTTTGCTCTGCTCGAGTGAGCTCTTCTTGCCACCTCAGCCAGTGTGTCCATCATCGCTCTGTTGTTTTCTTCGTACTCCTCTCTTGGCCTCCTGTGTGTGTGTGGTGTGTGTGTGTGTGTGTGTGTGCGCGCACTGGCGTGTTGAGTAGTGTTGTGTGTTTTGTTGGGTGTGGGACACTTATTACGAGAGTGTTGTGTGTGGTGTGTGTGTGTGTGTGATGTGTGTGTGTGTGTGTGTGTGTGTGAGTGAGAGAGAGAGAGAGAGAGAGAAGAGAGAGAGAGAGAGAGAGAGAGAGAGAGAGAGAGAGAGACAGAGAGAGAGAGACAGGCAGACAGGCAGACAGACAGACAGACAGACAGACAGACAGACAGACAGACAGACACAGACAGAAAGAGAGAAAGGAAGAGAGTACATGAGAAGTACACTGGAAGACAAATAGCAAGTACTTCAGCGGGCACACATTTGCAATGGACTACCCGTTTAAATCTAGATTAAGGCTATTGTGTATTACCTAGATGTTTGAGAAAGGAATAGAATAGCATAAGGCTCTTTCTCCACCCTACACCTCCTTCGGCCCCTATCGGAGGAGAAATAGAAGTGGAAGATATGAACTACAAAGTACATTTTTGTTTAGTTTTGTTCCTCCTTCAACTGCTGGTGTTATTTCCTTGTTACCTATAGATCTGTGTGCTCGAGTTGCTACTATTCCACCACTAAATACTGTGTGTGTTGGTTTCCATGAGTAACACCAGAGACTGGTGCTGTAGCTGCCACAACCACCACCACTTCACTTCTGTTATCATTATTGTTATTAAACTGACTGGATCATTGCTATCCGTTCGTCCTGATGTAGTTGTTGATCTATAATTACTAATCTGTTGATACAGTTTTGCCTCTGCATAGTATCCATTTGCATCCTTTTTATACATAATGTTTCTTCAACTGGTTTTCATTGTCTTCAAGATTACAGTTTCCGTCTGTAATTTGTTTCATTCTGCTGTAATTCTTTTAACAACATAAAAGCTTACCAATAAATTTGTGTTGTATCTCTTGCCTCGAGGTTTCATTCCACTGTTTCGAGTTATTGGTTCAATTTACATTTCAAATATGTCTTCGTGTTTAGATAGGATTTTGTTCAGGTTTTTAACCCCGGAGGGTTAGCCATCCAGGATAAGACAAGAAAATCACTGCGTCATCGAGGACTGTCTCATTTCTATTATGGTCCTTTAAATTGCTTGCTAGGTGAACAGGACGGGAATTGAACTACGGACACTCAGTGTATGAGGCGAGAGAGTTGCCTACCAGGCATCATAAAGTGCATTATATAGGGCTAATATGGTTTCTAGGTTTTGTACTTAAAATTTCTAGGTATGACATTTAGCATTTTACAAGCTTTGCCTCTCGCAGCTGCACAGTGATACTGTTAAGGTCATTGCGTAGGATTTCTTTGGGGTCCTGTCCTTCTTATACTTCGAATAATTTGTTTTTAAACATTTGGCTCACAAGTCTGGGACTTAATTTCAAAATTCATTACTTTGTGCTTGTCAACATTGAAACTCAGTTCTCCAACCATAGCGCCAACTCATCATCACTAAATAGACAGTCAGCTTAGGATCCCTGCATTATTTTTACTCAATTTTGGGACATTCACTAAATTTATTATCTTAGATGTTAGCAGTATATCAAGAACATTCATGAAAATTTATTAAAAAGCAGAACCAAGAACCGATTCCTGATGAACTCTGTTATACAGATCTAGTCAGCTACGTCTGTATTTAATACAGCAGTTTTGAACCCAGGGTGACACAGTCTTGTGGGGCCAGGGGTGACCTGGCTGGCTAAGGTGCCACAAGAGTTAGGTTACCTAAGGTAGCAAGTGTTTCCTGACGCTGATCTTGGTCGTATGATGACCTGCCACTGGAGCTTTTGGTATCTCCTGGAGGTTCAGGCACTAACAAAGAAATCACTTTCTTGGGATAACCTGATACACGATACACAACATCAAAACAAAAACGAAAATCATTTGAATGATGAACACTGTTTTATTATCTGAAATATTTATACATTTTATTTATATGTTATCAATCTTACTTTGTGCTAACTTGATAGATATTACTTACTTTTACAATGTTAATACAATGAAAATAATTAATAACAAATTAAACGTTTTATTCACAAGAGGGATTTTTTTTTATCCCCACGGTGCTCTAGATGCCTGGTGCCTGGTGCCTGGTGCCTGGTGCCTGGTGCCTGGTGCCTGGTGCCTGTGTACAGCATGGTTGACCGGACTCACAAGGACATGCCACAGTTCGTGAAAGAGTTTTAACAAGGATGAACCACTTCATAAAAGACTGAAAAACACTAATTTAGTGCCACTCGCTGTTTCCTGTGCGCGAATCAGTAATTAATTCAGTCATTAAGTGTGTTTACTACGTTCCTTCTTGAATCTCTTGATTCACTAAAACTGTTTAGACTTTCCTCCAGTTTTCGGGGACAGAATTAAAAAAAATCTAGTGAATTAGTCATTAATAATCATTTGCTGTACAATCCATGATGCTTTCGGTTAATTATGATAATTATAATCCAAAAAATTGACCACTTTTTTCATATAGGAAACCCCTATTGTTGACCTAAAATCGATATTTAGCAGATGGGACCATAGTTGAGGGCACAAATCTGGTGTTCATTGGAAACTAGCATGGTAGCATTTGCCACTTTCCGTTTTTTTGGGCACCGTAATTTTTTCTAATTTGTAATATTTTTGCTAGTTGGGAAGCGATATGGTAAGTACACTCTTTTATAACTCTGTTAATATTCACCTTCTCAAAGTAACTCTATGTCACACCTGCTAATTTCTTCAATAATTAGACAGACAATACATGAACTAATGACAGATTTACCAATCTGGACGTCGTGCTCGGCTGAAAGTGTTCAACAGAAAGTGGAACTGAGCACTGAAGTCACATCTCTGATGGTGTTTTATTTTTCCGTTCTCGTAGTATAGAACCCATCCTTTTATTTTTCTACCCATTATTATTTTTAACTTTTAACATTTCTCTTGCATTTTTTCATTAGCTGTATATAGCCAGTAGGGCCGTTGAAGTTACCAGTCAGTTCAAATTATATTTGTAAGCGTAACGACTTTAATGAAATAAAATCAGTTGGCCAAAAGTAATCTCTGGCCCACAGATGACTCCAACTTAATTATATTTAATATTTGCATGTCTCATAACAATAAAAAGGTTTTAAATGAGCTGAGGTAGGTAACAGCTTTTATAGCTGTAGAAACCTTAGTTTAAATAGAGAGAGAGTGTGTGTGAGAGAAAAGGGGAGAGAGATAGAGAGAGAGAGAGGCGTCTACGTGCCAGGCAGAGGGTGGGTGTGGCAACTAGATGCTTCGTGTGGAATTTCCACAAGAATATTCCACTCATAGCTAAGTTTACCACCGCTGTCTTGATTGCATAGTGTATTCCAGCTTGTTGCAACCACGGTGTGCCTGTCACCACCCTCCATTTTTTCCTTGCAACGAGAATGTTGCATTAACTCACCTTGCAACTCTAGTTTATCAAGTGAACTTCTGTATCTTTGAAATTTGACGGCTTGCAATCTTAATCTCAGTAAGGAATCGGAAAATTATTACCAATTCTTGCCATTACTATCCAGGCTATAATTAGCTAATCATTCTTTAGTATATAATTTTTGATAAAAGTGCGAAAAGCACAGTAGTCTTAATATAACTGAGAATACTTCAGTGTAAATGTATTGTCAAACATTACTTCAAGCAGAAAAATGCAAATAAGTTTATCGAGCGTTCCCAAGAGCATTGTGCAGCTGGCAACTGAGCGGTGCGTAGTGGTAATGTATATAAGCGGGGCAGCGGCAAGCTTTCTTCATACCTCGAACTGAGCCACGCCGGTAAATAACAGACGACGTTCTTGCATTCAGACTTACATAGACCATCACTGCAATAGAAGAGGAGGGATACTAACTCGAAAAGGTTTAGCGGTATTTTAGCCTAAGAGCGTCCTGAGTATATATATATAATTTTAGTGTAATCTTGGGCATTAGATCCGAGAAATTCCAATACAATGTGTGTTTCCAACATACACAAAGTGGAGAGCATGACTTTAGCGGAGGTGGAAGTGAAGGGTATGAGGCCTATGGCGCCCCATGCCAAGTCCCTTGTCAGCCGCTCTCGATTCCATTCTATTTCCGAGTTCCGTCCCTCTGAAATGCACAAATCAAAAACCTTCGGAGGAGTCGCTGTGTTCCCGTATTCTACCGAAACGTTGACGAGGCAGGAGTTGGAGAGGCTTGTAGACTCGAGGAAGAGAGAGCCCACGAAAGTCACTAAGGCTCAGATTAAGGAGTACGGCAAGAAATACAAGAACTTCAATTCCGATGCTGATGAAAAGAGGGAAAACGCGCATTGGTACAGGTAAGTGTTTGCGTAATGATACCGTATTGTGTAATTGCAAATTTGTATTGGGTACAGTACATATCGGGTTGCTTCACAGCATTCTTGTGTTTCACAATGGTGATATTGTTTATATAATGATATAATGATGAATAACTGAAGTTATATTCATACGCCAAATGTTGAACTGAAATGATATCGTGTTGCGACTTATATTAGAACACTGGCGTATTCTTGCGTCGGGTTGGGCTTATATAAGCACGCTTGAGGTTGCCGCTCTCGTTCTGATCAGTTACTTCCTGGCGCTTTACGCTAAATGAACAGAAAATGCAATGTGTTTCATGCGTTCTTTATTCGATTGATAGCGAAAACTTGTAAATGGGATGCATACGTGCAATTTTCTGTCCTTAAACACAATTCTAAGAGGAGAAATAATAGAGATGGAATGGAGAGATGATTTGAGAGACAGGAACCAGGTACTAGAGGGCACACAGGAGGTACAGGGACGTAATGAGGTATTTATGCAGTCGTATGGTGCTAGTGGAACAGAACGAAGCTTCAAGAACAGTTACGTTAGGGCCCGAAAAGCCAGAACCCATTAAATGTCAGTCAAGGCAGATGCAGAGGTGGGGTCAGGAGCAGGGCTTCAGACCCTCGCTAATTCAACATTTAAGCTTCATGTTTAGTTATGCAACACTCACTATTTGTTATCTTCTAGTAACACAGTAACAACTACACTAACACTTAACAACTACACGAGTGTGACCATGATATTAAAATTCTTTAATTCCTAGAACCTTTGAACCTTTACCTTATGCTGATCGAAAAAAAAGAAACAATAGTGCTGTGCTTCATTTATTTTGTTTGTCAGTAGAATGCATTGTGTTGACACAATTTTGTGTACAGTGTAATGTATTGCTACTGTGTTGTTAGTACAGAGTAATGTGTTTTCGTTGTATTGTGTGTTGGGACAATATATTATGCTACTACTGTGTTCTATATTAGTACAGGAGTAATTTGAATATGGAGGTGCTTCGAGATTCAAAAAATAATGTGAATAATAACGTGGGAGGAACCCGGCCAGAGGTACTATGAATGTTTAGGAGTACCAAGGTAACGCAAGAAGATACTGAATGTTGTGGAGTGTCAAAAGCAGTATCAGAAGCACGGTGAAGGTTGTTGAATGTCAGGAGTCTCTCCAAAGGGCTGTGAATGTCGAGGTGTGTGTGTGTGTGAAGAGCCAGGGCAGAGGGACTGTGGATGTTGGAGTGTGTGTGTCCTAACCAGACGTACCATGAAGGTACATTTGTGTAACATGCTAAATCCGTATGCGATATTCATTTCAAGGAGCGATGAAGATTCGATCCTTCAACCACTAAGCCTCGTCCTTGGGAAGTTTAAATTATTTAAGATATCATTCATAAGTTTGGATAGCAGAGAAGGGAGTGTAGTTGACACGCAAATGTTCCTGGCGACAAGGAGAGCCGGTGTGGGTGGCAGCGAGGAAGCTCATCCCTTAGCTTTTCATTAACAGACATTGGGTACACAACTTCGAGAGTACCCTGAGCTGGATGATGATGATTATTTTTATTATCTCTCTCTCTCTCTCTCTCTCTCTCTCTCTCTCTCTTGATTGATTGATTGATTGATCGCTACTAGGTCCTCTCTCTCCCTGCTCCATGAGTTTTATCATACCTCGTCTTAAAGTTATGTATGGTTCCTGCCTCCACTACATCATTTGCTAGATTATTCCACTTCCTGACAACTCTATGACTGAAGAAATACTTCCTAACATTCCCTTTGACTCATCCGAGTCTTCAACTTCCAATTGTGACCCCTTGTTTCTGTGTCCCCTCTGGAACATGTGTGTGTGTGTGTGTGTGTGTGTGTGTGTGTGTGTGTGTGTGTGTGTGTGTGTGTGTATGGCAGTAATGTTGGCTTACATAAGGAGAGACAGGGTACGCGTAAGCGATTATGTCATTCGTTTTGTATTGAGAAATCTTGTTGTCTTGGTTGAAAGGTCAGTGAAGCCAAACTTTTCACATCTTCGCTGCACATCGTTATTTCACTAATTAGTCTTGTTTACCTTACCTTTGCAGTGTTATTCATCTTCATTATTCACTCTTGTACATCTTCACAGCTTCATTCATTTTCACTTTTAAGCTTAACTCATCTTCACTACTAACTCCAGAACATCTTCATATCACAGAAGCATTCATCTTTATTGCTTATCCCTGCACATCTTCACTTATGAGCACTGCATATCTTTACTTAACTGAATTGTGAATATTCACTGAACTATTAGTCTTTGCTAGTCATCACTGCACATTGTCAATATTCACCCTGAAACTGCTCACCATCATTCACCATCTCATCCTTTAAACATATTCACAGAACCATTCTTCACTAGCATTCTGAATAATAAAGTTTCCATGTATATGCCTGAAATTTCAAGTTATCAGTTCGTTCAAATCATTAACATATAATAGATATCCTTTATTATTTTGAATGGAATATCGATATTTTTTATATGGTGGATGGTTAAGCGAGGGACGGCACCCAGCACAGCAAAAAAAAAAAGGGCCTTAGAGCCAAAAGGGTTGACCATATATAATAAATATCACTTAATTTGATATTTAACATTTCACTGGGTGAATTTAGGGTAAGCCATCAACAATCCTCGGTCATATAAGCACAATCTCCCACAGCTAGTTGGTCGTCACATGACTAAGACCCGCATCAGGAAGCACTTGTCCTGTTTCCTGGCGAATATGATACTGTTATCTTTACAACAAATTTAATTTAGGTTTGCGTTATAGAGACAAGTGAGTACTAAAAAACAGCTTCGATTTGCTATCCATTATGGCTCCCATTTACATTACGTATTAGCAATCAAGAAGACTTAAATCATTAAAACTAACTACGAGAGAGATTCCAAGGTTTATAAAGACCATCCTTCTAATGAGATCTACTTCTCAAGTTAGTCATTCCTTTTACTAGTTTGGTTGTTAGAAACTGGTTAATTTTTTTTTTAATTTTGAATATCATTATTATTCTGTACGTCTTGTTGTCTGGATGTCTAACTTCAAAATATAGATTTAAATTACTGTATATGTACCGTAGTTTATAAATTAAAATTAATTTCATGAATTATACATTTATTATTATTATTATTATTATTATTATTGTGAGAAGCAGTAGTAAGAGTAATAATAGTAGTATACGCAGCATCAGTTTTCCAGGCAATCTCATCTTTCCTTCTCTTTCTCTTCCTCCTTCTCATCCTCGTCCTTGTATTCCTCTTCCTCCTCTTCTTCTTCTTCCACTTCTTCTAATTCTTCCTCTTCCTCCTCTTTTTCTTCTTCCTCTTCCTCCTCTTCTTCCTCTTCTTCTAATTCTTCCTCTTCCTCCTCTTTTTCTTCTTCCTCTTCCTCCTCTTTTTCTTCCCTCTTCCTCCTCCTCCTCTTGTTCTTCCTCTTCCTCTAATTCTTCCTCTTCCTCCTCCTCTTTTTTCTTCTTCCTCTTCCTCCTCCTCTTTTTCTTCTTCCTCTTCCTCTTCCTCCTCCTCTTCTTCCTCTTATTCTTATTCTTTTTCTTTCTTCCTCCTTTTCTTCTTCTTCTTCATCTTCTTCCTCCTCTCATTCTTCTTCTCTCTCCCCGGGCGGGAATTAAAACATCCTAGTGTATATTTACAATTAGTGAAATTTAATGACGGATATCATCAAAATAAACTTTCCTCTAAAAATCATAAGTTGTCTCTCGTACTTTACTTTTATACGTTATTTGCGACACTCCACTAAAATATTTTTATTACTTCTTGCGAACACCAAGAAACAAAATTAATTTATTTTTCGCCGGCACACGATTAATATGTTTCAAATTATATGGAAATGACAGGGAAAACAATTATTATATTCACAATATGTGGAAAAAAAATAGCTCAGGTGGAAACTAATTAGAAGGTGATGGCTTTGTTCACTTCAGAGAGGTGTTGGAACACACACAACCGGCACACCTCATCACCATAGTGTCAGTTGTGTACCTCGCCTTCAGACTCTTCCCGGACTCCCGCAGGAACGCCACCGAAGCCTCCACCCTCACTCGGCTATTCTATGTTGCCTCTGTTAGCACTGTCTTCGGCAGCCAAGTCTGGATGACCTTCGTGTCTGGTGAGTTGTGAGAGATTTTGGTTGTCGTGTATGGTTGCTACTTGTGTGGCTGGATGGACCATACCATGATAAAAAGAATGATAACTTTTAACATGAATTTCATAAGCCACTTCAGTATTATAGATAATTATAATCAAAGGGAGGTACTAAATTCACACGGAGGTCATACAGTTATCAGTAGTTATTTCTATGTCTATAAAAAAGTTCAGTAAAGAGTACAGTTTTACATAGACGTTCCCTCAATTACTTTTGAGTTCCTCGGTTATCCTGTCATCTCGTCTCCTCACAGGTTTGGCGCTTTTCTTCTCAGTGCAGCGACACGTGTTCGCACAGGTGCAGCAGGTACTCTTCCCGCTGTACTTCATGTGCAACGCTGTGCTGATGCTGGTGGCTGTGGTGACTTACACACAGCACCTCCCCACCCACCTCTGGGACACCCACCAGATGATGCAGGTAAGAAGCGTCCTCGACACACTCCTTAGTCTGTAAGTTTTGTGGGTCACTGACAGAACGAACATTTCTCTCCATTATGGATGTGTGATAGCACTCGACATCTTGTACACACGCAAGGAATGAAAATGAACTCCAAGGCACCAACTCCAATCCTTTGATCGACTGTTGAATTTAAATTAGTATTTGGTAAGCTTCCCCTACCACTCTGAATGATCCATACGGTTTTGGTGGCTTCTGTGATTATATATATATATATAATATATATATATATATATATTATATATATATATATAAAATTTTATACATATAAAAATATATATATATTTTATAATATATATATATTATATATATATATTATATATATATATATTTATATATACATTTTTTTTTATTATGCCCACTGGCCGTTTCCCCACCAAGGCAGGGTGGCCCGAAAGAGAAAAAATCTCATCATCATTCACTCCATCACTGTCTTGCCAGAAAGGGTGCTTTACACTACAGTTTTTAAACTGCAACATTAAACACCCCTCCTTCAGAGTGCAGGCACTGTACTTCCCATCTCCAGGACTCAAGTCCGGCCTGCCGGTTTCCCTGAACCCCTTCATTAAATGTTACTTTGCTCACACTCCAACAGCACGTCAAGTATTAAAAACCATTCGTCTCCATTCACTCCTATCAAACACGCTCACGCACGCCTGCTGGAAGTCCAAGCCCCTCGCACACAAAACCTCCTTTACCCCCTCCCTCCAACCTTTCCTAGGCCGACCCCTACCCCGCCTTCCTTCCACTACAGACTGATACACTCTTGAAGTCATTCTGTTTCGCTCCATTCTCTCTACATGTCTGAACCACCTCAACAACCCTTCCTCAGCCCTCTGGACAACAGTTTTGGTAATCCCGCACCTCCTCCTAACTTCCAAACTACGAATTCTCTGCATTATATTCACACCACACATTGCCCTCAGACATGACATCTCCACTGCCTCAAGCCTTCTCCTCGCTACAACATTCATCACCCATGCTTCACACCCATATAAGAGTGTTGGTTTAAAAATATACTCTCATACATTCCCCTCTTTGCCTCCAAGGACAAAGTTCTTTGTCTCCACAGACTCCTAAGTGTACCACTCACCCTTTTCCCCTCATCAATTCTATGATTCACCTCATCCTTCATAGACCCATCCGCTGACACGTCCACTCCCAAATATCTAATACATCACCTCCTCCATACTTCTTCCCTCCAATCTGATATTCAATCTTTCATCACCTAAATTTTTGTTATTCTCATAACCTTACTCTTTCCTGTATTCACTTTTAATTTTCTTCTTTGCACACCCTACCAAATTCATTCCACCAATCTCTGCTAACTTCTCTTCAGATCTCCAAGAGCACAGTGTCATCAGCAAAGGCAACTGTGACACCCATTTTATGTGTGTTTTTGAGGTTTAACTCCACGCTCTTGCCAGACCCTCGCATGTCGAACGTCATTCACTGAGATTTGTGTGGTCTACTCACGGGTCTTCAAAAATTTTAACCCCCCCTTTGCCCCAAAAATTTTTTTTAAAAAAAACCTTTTTAAACCCCCTTTTTAAAAAAAAAATTTTTCCCCCAAAATTTTTTAAAAAAATTCCCCCCCCTTTTTTTTTTCCCCCCCCCCCATTTCCCCCCTTTTGTGGGGTTTTTAAAAATTTTTTTCCCCCCCCCTTTCCCCCCCCTTTTTTTCCCGGGCCCTTTTTTTTTTTTCCCCCTTTTTTTTTTCCTTTGTTTTTCCCTTTCCCCCCCAATTTCCTTTTTAAAATTTTTTTCCCCCCCTTTTTGGGCCCCCCCCCTTTTATTAAAAAATTTTTTTTTTTTTTTAAAGGGGTTTTTGGGGGCCCCCCCCTTTTTTTTTCCCCCCCCCTTTTTTTTTTTTTGGGGGGGTTTTTTTTTTTTAAAAAACCCCCCCCCCCCCCCCCCCCCCCCCCGGGGGGGGGGGGGGGGGGGGGGGGGTTTTTTGGGGGGGGAAAAAAAATTTTGGGGTTTGGGGGGTTTTTAGGGGGGGGGGGGGGGTTTGGGGGGGGGGGGTTTTTGGGGGGGGTTTTTGGGGGGGTTGGGTGGGGGGGGGGGGTTTTTTTTTTTTGTGTGTGGGTTTTTGGGGGGGGGGGTTTTTTTTTTTTGTGTTTGGGGTTTTTGGGGGGGGGTTTTGGGGGGGGGGAAATTTTTTTTTTTTTTGGTTGTGTTTTGGGTGTGTGTTGTGGGTTGTTTGTGTTTGTTTTTGGGGGTTTTTTTTTGGGGGGGGGGGGGGTTGGTTTTTTTTTTTGTGTGTGGGTGGGTGTGTTTTTTTTTGGGGGGTTTTTTTTGGGGGGG